GGACAGTGAAGTCAGAATAAAGTCTGAACTAACACTCCTGAGCATCACAGAGGAATCTCAGTTTGACAGATTTTGATATCAGCAGTTTTAGCATCACCAGCTTTTCCAATACTGAAATATGGGAAGAGTTTCTCAGTGAAAGTGTCTCTGTGAGTGTAGATGGGAGTCATGCCTTCAGGGTCGTAGAAGGACACCTCCCCATAGTCCAGCTGGACTCTGATCCTCTGGAGATTCTTCTTCACTCTGAGAGTCTTACCAGCACCAGTAGTGTATTTTCCACTGCGATGTGCTAAACACCAGATTCCAAATTTTGGTGAGGCAAATACCTCACCCTTCCTGTCAACTGACTCTTTAGTCAAACCTATATACCAGTCAGGATAATCTCCCACCTCCACCTCCCAGCTGTGTTTCCCTGAGCTGAAGCCCTCAGAGCCCAGAACACTAGCATAGTGAGTGTATCTCTCTGGATTATCAGGAAGCTGCTGATCTTTGTCTCCACGTCTCACACTGGTCAGATCGTCAGACAGAGAGAGCCAGCTGCTTGCAGTGTTTGGGTCCAGAATGACAGGACTGAAGTGGACCTGGTCCTTCATCTTCTCCCAGACTCTGAAGGACAGGTTGCCCAGGTGTTTGGCCACATCTATCAGCGCTCCTGAGAGCAGCAGCTGTGGGTCTGACAGTGAGCTCTGGACTCTGGCTCTGCTCTGAGTGGCTTTATAACTGCTGAGGAAGCGCCCGTTGTGTTTCTGCAGCTCTTCTTCAACAGCAGAAATACTGTGTGACAGAGAGGAGATGTGCTCCTGAATGCTCTTCATCTCTCTGCTGATAGTCTTCCCTTTCTGCTCCTCTTCCTCCCTCAGAGCTGCCAGTCTGGTCTCCTCTTCCTCTTTCAGGAACTGATGGAGCTTGATGAACTCTGCTCTGATCTGCCTCTCTGTGGACAGCAGCTGCTTCTTGGACACTTGAATCACTTCATTGTATGTTGTCTCCACTCCTTTGTATGTGTCCCTCTTGTCCTGCAGAGACTCTAAGTCAGATTTCAGCAGGTCCTTCAGCTCACTGACTGCTTGTTCTACAGGAACCACCTCGTGACTCTGGTGGAGAAAAAAGTCACAGACAGGACACAGAGCTCTCTCTTCATCCTTACTGAACAATGTAGGCTCTTCTTGGTGTTTACTACACACCACCTCCACCTTCTTCTCTCCTTTTTCTGTCTCAGATGATCCAGCTTTCGGTCTCTCAGCAAAGGAGTCAGCCAGCTCCTTTAGTGTAAAATTTGCCCACGGTTCTTCTTTTGAGGACTTTCTTTACAAATGGGACAGTTTCTGTTCTTACTTTGTTCCCAGAATGTCTGCAGGCAGCTCGAACAGAAGCTGTGGCTGCAGCTCAGAGACACAGGATCTCTGAAAGTCTCTGAACACACATGGCAGCTCAGGTAACTTTCAAAAAGAGGGTTTTTCTCAGCCATTTGTCTCGGTCTCTGTTGTCTTTTAAAAGCAAAACTCACTAAGGTATGTCCTTTCTCTTGAGTGTTTCAGATCCTCCAAACGTGTCTCCCAGCAGAGATCTCACACCCTGTAATGGCGTCCCCGCTCTTTTCAACAATGTCAAAATCCTCTTTGTTTTTCTCTGCCCTCTGTCACAGGATGATTGATCAACAGCAGGAAATGCTGCTATGTCATGTATTCACCAGCAGATGGAGTCAGGATGTCTTTCAGAGGGAAATTAACTTTGGTATTCAGTTCAGGACAGGACTTTGTCCAGGTATCTGTTGGAAGAAAACACATAAGATTTAATTTCCATGAAAAAAACAACAACATAGGAAAGAAAGGAAATGCTAATATATAAAAGTTTGAAGAACTGTTTTTTGTTCTTACTTTGTTCCCAGAGTTTTCTGCCGGCAGCTCGAACAGAAGCTGTGGTTTGCAGCTCAGAGACACAGGATCTCTGAAGTCTCTGAACACACATGGCAGCTCAGGAAAAAGAGCAGCTATCCTTTGGTGTTTCAAAATTATCACTCACCAACTTTTTCTTCCCCTCGGTTTGCCTCTAAATGTCGATGAGATCTCCCGCAGTGTACTGGTGTCGAGGCTCTCTTCAACAATGTCAGAATGAGCTTTCAATCCTCTAATCTCTTTCACTAGTTAATCATTGATAGTTATAAATGCAGTCATCTGTTTTTATTACCAGCAGATATATCGGAAAGATGAACTTCGGAACTTTCAAGTTCTGACTCAAACATGTTTTTAACCCATTTGTTTCCTCTTTGTGATCATCTGACCGGTGTTCAATCTTAAACACTGACAGGCAAGGAAGATTGTTGGAAATGTACATTTCACATATTTAACACTATTTTAAGATTAAGCATTGAACATAAACAGGCCAGTAATGCCAAAAATAAGTATTCATTAAAAAAAATGAGTACACAGTGAGGGCTGACTCACTTGCCAGAAAGCTGCGCAACAACAGTTGCTATGATTTCTGGAAAGAGGTCAAAGTCATAAACAGCTGTAAGACTCCCTCACCGTCTTCCATTGAAGGAGTGTGTGGGTCAGGCAGCATCGCAGAACTGTGGCGACAACACTATCATGAGTTGTTCAACTGTGTTAAGAGTGATGCATTTGTGGTTGAAAAGGTTGACTCCACTGAAAAGGTGACAGTTAGATCAGAGGAAGTCTTCAACACTATAATGAATCTAGAAAATAACAAAGCTTGTGGCCCGGATCTCATCTCAGCCGAACACTTCAAATATGCCAGTCTTAAGCTTGCTCCTCTTGTTGCTCTGTGTCTTACTGGTTTCCTTAATCATGGTGTCTTACCAGTTTCCATGTTATCTGTGCTACTTGTGCCAGTCATCAAGGAGAAAGCTGGGAAGATTAATGGCATTGATAATTACAGACCTATCGCTTTGCGTCACCTTACCCTTTTTAGTCCTTTAAACTGCACTTGGGTCCTATTTCCCCCAAACCTGACACCTATTGCTTTAGCTAGCATTCTCTCCAAATGCTGGAGAGAATTCTGTTGGATAGGCTGGAAAGGTATATTACCACAGCTGACAACCAGTTTGGTTTTTAAAAGAAAACACGGCATGATGTGTGTATTTTTGCTTTAAAAGACATTATAGCAAAATATAGAAGCCAAAATTCCACCATGTTTCAACTACATAATAAGGATCTTAGCCTTCTGGTATGCACATCGGACTATGCAGGTGAAGTGGGGCAATACTGTGTCTGAAAATGTTTATGTTGGTAATGGGGTCAAGCAAGGTGGGATTTGATCTCCTTTGTTGATTAATCTGTACATGGATGATCTGTGTAGGAAACTGAACTTGTGTAAAACTGTCTGTGTCATCGGTGTTACTGTTGTCAACCACCTTGTGTACGCAGATGATTTAATCATCTTTTCCCCGTGCAGTGCAGGCTTACAGCAGCTTCTGAGGATTTGTTCCCAGTATGTCATTGATTTTAATATTAAGTATAACGCCAAGAAGAGTAGCATCAGGATTGTGCGAAGAGGATAAAAAGGCTTTCCTAATTGTATTCTCAGTAGCAACATTCTTCTTGTGTGCAGTGAGATTAAGTACCTTGGTCATTATATATCTGATGATCTCACAGATGACAAAGACATCCATAGACAACGCTGCAAACTGTATGCCCAGGCAAACATATTCATCTACAAAGTGCTCTGTAGATGTCAAGGTATCACTTTTGAAAGCTTTCTGTACACCATTGAACACGGCTCACCTGTGGAGTAACTACAAGGCTAGAAGGATACACAAACTAAAAGTTGCATACAATGATGCTTTACGGTTGCTGCTGAGGGTACCAAGATGGCAGTGGCAGCCAGCTGTTTGTTAACTTGGGGGTACCGACCTGTCAAGCCCTTTTAAGAAAAGTAATGTACAAATTCATGTGTCGCCTAGCAGACTGACAATCATGTTATCTCGATTTTAGTTAAACCTGTGAAGAGTTCTACTCGGTTCTCTTCCATGATTTGGAGACATTAGCGCAACAGCCTCTACAGACAGTGAGCATGTGTGGCGAGCTGTCATTGGACTGATTTTATGTTTTTCATTTTGTTTGGCTTTTTAATCTTATTTATTGTTGTGTATTTTGACATTTTGTATGTGATATGGACCATGAGTCTGAAATAAAGATTGAATTGAATTAAGCACCTTCATGACATTAAAGTCAAATGTGTGTTTCGATGAGCTTTTATTAATTGAAGCTTTACAGCACTCACTATCTTTAGACTTTGGTCTTATTGCATGCAATTGTGCAAGTACTCCCACTTAAAAAGATGAGGCCTGTAATTTTCATCCTAGGTACACTTCAACTATGAGAGACAGAATGGGGGGAAAGAATCCAGGAAATCACATTGTAGGATTTTTAATGAATTCATTGGTAAATTCCTCGGTAAAATAAGTATTTGGTCACCTACAAACAAACAAGATTTCTGGCTCTCACAAACCTGTAACCAAACCTTCTTCTTTAAGAGCCTC